GAAAAAGAAGAAATAATTATTGATGTGATGAAAAATATTATTTTATTGAAAAATGTGTGGTTGAAAATGAGAATTGATTCTGTAGAATTTGAGAATAAAAAACAAACAGGCCCTAGGTTTTCTGATATTTGTTAACCAGTTTGTAGAAAAGTCAAGTGTGAAAACGTATAACTCAACTATGAATAGTAAATGGGATCAAGACTCTTTTAAGGTAATGAAATATATATAAAGAGTAAACTTCTAGAAAAATCAATCCATACATTCTACATAATAATATTCCATTATTGATATTAAGCCCCGTTTTGATACACATCCTCAATAAATTGCCGTTGGTTGGTGTACCATATTAACAGACTGGGATAAAGTTACTTAATTTTTAAAAAATATATATTTATACAATAATTTATTATTTTTTAAATAGTATATATCTATATAAGATTTTATTTATTTTAATTTAATTTTTGGGTTGACCCCAATTTAATTTCGACCATCGATTCTCTTCCTTATTTGGGTTAATATCCGATCAGACTTTTAAAACATTGATGAAATGTGGAGAGTGAGTGATGTAGTGCAATGTGTTAAAATTTAATGATCACTCGAAAATATTTTAAAATTTAATAAATAAAATATGACGAAGATACAAGTTTAGTGAGTAATGAAACACTTAAATCCACTAGTAACCATTGATAAGTCATTTCACTATGCTATTTGGGTAAACTTGGCCCCTATTTTATAATTATTACTTGGGAAAAATAGAGTTTTGATTAGTGACTTTAAAAAAAATGTGTAGTTAAAAAATAAAAAAATATAAATCGAATTTTCATGCAAAATATTTTATTGTGTAAATGTACAATTGAAAATAATACCGTGAAAGAATGAGTTTAAAAATAAAGGTGGTCAAACACGGACTTGATTGGCCATTTTTTCAATTCCTCTGCCCTTTTTCGTTCATTTTGCAAATATCTTCCTTTTTTCTCATTCACCCAACAAAAAGAAAATAAAACAAACAACAAAAAGGAAAATAAAACAAAACAAAACAGAGAGTAAGAGACGAGGCGATGCTTGGGTTCGAGAACTCTGGGAAGCTTTTGAGGCTGCTCCATGGCGGAGAAGAAAGGACTATTGAAGAGATCGTGTCGGATTTCAACACCATATTCCCTCCCTCTCTACGCTTCTACGCTTGCTTCGCTCTCGAGTTACTCTTAGACCCTAAGGCACTTCTTCTCTACATTAGGGTTTTTCTTGTTATTTCTATTTTTCGTTTCGCCTCAATTCTGTGGTTTTTATATGATTCGAGCAAGGAATTTATATTGAAGTAGTATTGGTATAACTATTCGATTTCTTGTACTTGATCACTTTGTGCTGAATGCTGTTCTATTATTTCAGAAAACCAATTAGACTTTATGGGTTTTGATTTCGTGACCTTAAGGTGTATTTCTTTGGGTTTTGTCATTTTGCTTAAACTTTATTATCTCAAATTGAAACTAGTTCATTGCAAGCGAGCTTGTGAATATATGGGTGAATGTAGCTTTGTGGTTCGCAAACTTTGGACGTGTCCGTATGTAGGATATGGATGCACACCTTAGATAATTGTATGACAACTTCTAAGTGGCTTTTAAGGATCAATCTACAGAGAGAGAAGGAAAAATGGCGAAAGTGTTTAGAACTCTTCTGAATGATTCATTATATTTTAAAACATTTTCTTCAACTCTGGTAAACTTTTTGAGACTGAAATTCTTAATCATTGTAATGTCAACCAATTCTTGACCCCCTGATTACGATTTTGATAGAGGGTCAACTGGAAGATAGTATCAGAAGAGCTTAAAAAGGTATTTGTAAATGACTGCAATTTTCTTGTCTTGTAATAATGCTACCTTGTTTCTGGCTAAAGCTTGGTAACTCAACGGACCTTACCTATAATGGGATTTGTAGCCAGATCAGCTCGACAAACTGGTTGAGTTGGTTGAGTACTTAAACTCGCCCAACTCCACCAAATGTCAAGTTTCTCAAGTATAAGCTAAACAAGTCAACAAAAAGGTTGAGTTGAGTGATTATTAGCTTGACAAATTTGACAAATGTTGTGTTGGACGTGTTATAAGGAAGAACTATTTTTTACTTTGGCCTTTAGAAGTAGACTATTTTAAAAAATTCTTCATTTATTATTAGTATGTTCTGAGAAAAATGAACAAATATTTTTTTCAATTGTTTGAACAAAATATCATTTAAATAGGTTTTTTGACACATAATTTTGGCACGCACATGTTAGTTCTGCCTCCTACTTTTTTAGTGTCTTTTTTTGCTCATCATTACCCAAAGTTTGTCAATATGCAACTGTTTTCAATTACCAGTCTGAAACAGTACAAGCTGCAATGAAATGGCAATTTGCATAAAGTTCTACATTATGTTATTGCAGGAAAAAATCCTCAAGCCAACTGAGCGGTTGATCACCTTTTCAATTATTCATCAGGCATATGTGTCCCAGCTGCCTTCTTCAAACCCTTTCATTTCTAAGCTTGTGGATGTAAGTGCATTGCATAAATTCACATACTACTGGAAGTGCTATATTAGATTATAATTTGCATTTCTTCATTTTTTATTATAATTTGTCAATCTAATTATGTAGGAACATAGTATACAGTCTTGTTTACAAATATATATTACCTTCTATGACAATCAGACCCATGAAACAAGGATGAAGAGATTAGTTTATGGATTTTACCACATTCCCCTTGGTACAATTGAATTTTGTCTTTGACCTTCCATAACCACCGACATTTGGACCAAGCTGTATCCTTAGTGGTGGCAGCTCTAGGATTAGAGTGTGATTCCATGGTGACAGCGCCATGAGAATAGGTGGAAGTTGTAACAACACGGCCTTGTGCCAGAGTCGTTAATTTACGTACTGTTTGCTCTAGAAGAGTTTAAGCCGATCTTACCCCTTACTAATTCGAACCAATGACATTTCTCTTAAGAGAAATTTAAGTTGAATCCTGATATCAATTGGACAAGTTAACTTGTGTACTCTTCGCTCTTGAAGAGTTTAAGCTCATCTTATCTCTCACGAAATTATATCGCATCCCCAGGATTCGAACTCATAATATTTCCTTTAAGAGAGACTTAAGTTGAATTCTGGTACCAATTGAATCCCAAAATTCAACTTAAGTCTCTTTTACGGATAGTTCATGGGTTCGAATTTTGGGAAACGCGATAGAATGCCGTGAGGGGTAAGAGGGTAGATGCTTTCCAGGCAGACAATACATAAAAGAACGACCGGGTATGAAACTAGTTGCCTAATTGGTATCAGGATTTAACTTAAATCTCTCTAAGGGAGGTGATGAGTTCGAATTTTGAGACATGAGACAAAAAGTCGTGAGGAATAAAAGAACATATACCTTCCAAAGCGAACAGTATGTAAGAGAATGGCTTGCATGAAGCTCGGTTCATTACAAAAAATACAATTTTTTTATAAGGACTGGGTCTCTATGCCCAAATTGTTATATCATACATATTGTCAGCTTTGGGAATGCATCTGCCCTCTTAATCCCTCACGGATTTCTATTACTTTCCCATAATTCGACCCTTTTAACATTTTCCTTAAAAGTGATTTAAGTTGAATCCTAATATTAATTAGGCGTTATACCATACGTACTATTCGCTCTGGGAAGTTTAAGCCCATCTTGCCCCTCTCTTACCCATTTGGTAACAGAATTCAACTTAATTCATTCTTAAGGAAAATGTTAAGAGTTGAAATTCTGGAGATGTGATAGGAATTCGTGAGGGATTGAGATGGTAGATATATTTCGAAAGTGGATAGCATATATGATCTAATGGTTTAGACACGAGACTCAGGTCGTTACAGAAGTTGCCGGATCTAGTGGCTTGAGTAGTGGTTGCACAACAAAATTAGGATTTTGCTCATGGAATGGCAACCGAAGGTTAGAGAGAGGAGAGAGCATTTGGTGGATAACTGGTAACTAATTTGCTTTCTTCATCAAAAACAAATAATCGTAATGTGAATCTTGTACAGAAAGTCAAGCAATCACATGTTCATGAACTTCTTGTATGACCAATACTTTTATGGGGAAACACTTTTCGTTCTGCTGAGCCTTGTCCTTCTGTCCACTCAATTAACATCTCATCCCTGTTTCCTAGCTCTGGAAATATTTTGTTTATAGCTAGACGAGACCATGGGTAATGACATGGGAAAAGAAATGATATTAGTAACCTTGTATGCTTATAATTATACCTTCTTGTTAAAACATATTATTCAATTTAGAACGCATGCATATGTTATTTGTAACAATTTGGTAGCAGAATTTACTTTCAGGTTGGGTGCAGTTGAGACTTATTTTTTCTGATCAATTCACTTGCCTCACTTTTTAAAACTTAACATTTTTTATTTTTTATTTAGAAAAAGCTTATCTATCTAACTGATTAATGTTCAAATACTTTAATTTATTTTAAATCGCCATTTGGTCAGTGAGATCGTTTTCTAAGCATCTATGTAATTTTGCCTTTAATGTTATGTCCATTGCAGGCAGCATCTGATGAGGAAGCTGAAAAATATGAAAGGGCATTTATTCTCCAATTGTTAGGCTTGTCCAGCTCTAAAAGTAGTGGCGAGGTCTGTCCACTGTTTCTTGATTTATATATTTGTTTCTTATTGGTTTTCATCTTGTTTAGATTTTAAGCAATAATGTATTTCACTAGGTGGTGAATACCTCCTGTTCTATTTTTGCTTGTATGTCATTATTCATTAATTATGGTCCTTATATGAGATGTGTTTTTTAGTTTCTCTTGTCTAACAATTGTTTAAAATATTCATATTGCTATTATATTTTTACCTCTAATCATAACAGATAGATACTCCCTTGGCCTGGGGACATTAATTTGTATAAAATGTTCATATTGGTATTATATTTTTACCTGTAATCATAACAGATAGATACTCCATGTTTACAGTGGTTGCTCCTACTATATTTCCATTATATGTTGTCCGTAAATATTTATTTATTTCCTAAAATAGATATGTATTTCTGCAAAATACGAATTACGTGATGCGATTAACAAGGACTGTTGGCATTATTTTGAGGATAAAATTGAAAATTTGTATAAAACGCCCATTTGTTCAACTTTCGCCTAAAATGCGGTGCAAAATGGTAGCATCGAATTTCCATGGTTTTCATTTCTTTATTTTCCTTACCTAATGTTTTTCAACTGATAATGGCTTGTTTCATGCAGCTTCTCAAGCAGTCAGCATCAGATTACATGAAAAATTTTGACCTTTCATCACATGTAAGCTATCACATGCTGGATCTTCCATTCCGTGCCAATAGCTTTTGCTTGCAACTTGCTGGTTCACATCAGCAGGCCTATGATGTGATGACATCCATGATACTAGACTAAACTCATTTTCATGCTTTCTTCGTATCTGCGATCACTGTATAAGTTATCTTTTACTGCCATATATTCTTCATTTTGACAAGTTTTCCTGTCATGAACTTCCAGTCTTTTGTGCAACGAGAGCAGTTGCAACAGCAATATTGTGGCACAACTCAGCCAGAACCTTTGAAGTGTTTGTTTAAGGACAACGGTGTTAAAAATGTGATACCCCACGCTGATGTGCCCCCCAGATGTGATAGCGATTCATCTGAGTATGACTCCTGCTAGTTATTTTATGAGGTCTTTTCTATTTCTGCTCTCTTCTTTATCTACAATCCGTTATGTTGGTATGGGGGGTTAAATTTCAGGTTTGACCTGCAACCTGGACTTAAACCTAAAATTGGATCCGGGGATAGAGATGAAACTGTAGCTGGATTGCTGTCGTCTCTTTCATTGGAGGGGTTAAGTCCTCAATGGATCAGGCCTATCCCACCGAGGCTCCCAATAATGAATGGAGAAGTAAGATCATGCAACTACTAGCAATCATTTGCCAACTGACAATCGCTGTCTAGGTTTCAGAATTTATTTGTTTGAATAAATTTATCCCGGTTTTGCACAGCTATTGTGGCTCAACCCCGATATCAACCATGAGCTGTTATGGGACTATGGAATGTGCCTTGATACTAGCAAAGGAGCTGCAGTTAGAGATCTAATCGCAAAAGCATTGAAGGGGTCACTTTCTCCTCCCCAACAAGAGGTATATTTTCTTGTAGGTTTTTGGATATTAACAACTTATTTGGGCATGAAGTTTCACCATGAATTTTGCACAAAGTTGATGAGCTAAATTTATAGAAATTGAGCAATGAAATGAGATCAGACAGAACATTTTTAGTCAAGTCACATTTGAGAAATTATGCTGGGAATGATTGAAATTTGAAATAAATAAATAAGAGAGAAATTTGATGTTTGAATTATATAGAACTGAAATTTTTTCGTTGTCAACTATCTAATTCCCCTTTTAGAAAGATATTAAGAGTTTCTACTGATATTTTTCTTTTAATTTAGGGTACTAACTATGTAGTCCTAAAAACAATCAGGAAGAAGTTGTACTTTTTTTCCACACGAATTCATATCATTACTATGAATTATAGTTGCGAATACCCTGTTGGAAATTGAGAGGGTCTGTATTATTATTTGTGCTTTGGTTGTGGGAAGACAGTATGGCTAGATTATGAGAATTTGGCTGATCTTGACCTGTCAATATGAGTTTTAATATTTTGGGCTAGTTGGCTAGTGTCCAACTATATCGACTAGAAGAGGAATTTTGCCCGGGTGATGCTGTCACTACCTTGGTGGAGTTATCTACTCAAATGAGCCTGGACATGGATCCAGGATTGGACACAACTAAACTTTCACAGTGGAGGAACATACCATGTCTCACATTGGTTGGGAGGGGATACAAAAAGGACAAACCGTGCCTTCTAATAGCTTTGAGGTCGGCAATGTGAAACCTTTTCCGCTACTTTGTTCTTGTCGTTGCTGTATCTACTAGAAAATCCAATGAAACTAGATATTTAGCGACCACAATATGTTAGTTTGATCTACCCTCTCTTCTAATATGTTCTTTGGAGATCGGATTATTTTCAAGAACACGAGTCTCTTTAGGTCTAAGCAACTCATGTCTGAACTTAGGCATTCTTCCCAATCACTATCATCCACTAATTGATGTATGTCCTCTAATTGATGCATGTCTCATCTTAATCCTACGTTGCATACGTGTAGGAACGCATGTAAGAATATAGGCCTAATCAGTTGACTAGTCAGCAAAACGAATAAAGCTCTCTCTCATGATCTACTTAAGGTGAAGAATCAAGTGGACAACTAAGGAAACAAATGTGTTAGCTCTGAAAAAGCCTAGAAAAGCCATTACTCATTAGAAAGATCAAGCTGAGCAAGTAACATGCCATACATGATACAACATGGTCCTGAAGTCGACATTATACAAGTCTGTTTGTAGCTTGACTAAGCTGATCTCTAACGGAAGAATCATGTATCACAGGAACATAATCTAACAAGATGTGTCGACGATTTTAGGGTTTTGATAATATGAACACTGAATATAAAGCTCATGTTTGTATCCCATTCTTTCAACACGCTTTTTTCTATATACTCATTTTTAACCACATGTACACAATAAAATATTCTACACGTAAACTTATAATTTTTTTCTACTTTTTAGCTACATTCTCCAAAAATTCACTATTCAAAACAGTGTTTTTCCAAAAAATGGCCACCAAAAAGGAGCAGAATGCTGCATGATTTTACCTAAGTCCAAACAGTAGATGGGACATCTTATTTACATAGACACGCCTGTAAATACTCTCCAAGGCCTCCCGCAATGAGGGTAAGAATGTATGCATTATCCTAATACAATCTTAAATGATGAACAGAATCCCTTTCAAACTATTTTTTTCCTTATTTTGCCTTCTATTGGAGAATTGATCGTCTGAGTACTCTCAACCTTCTCCCCATGGGTTTGGCCAAGCACACTAATTAGGTCCTATTTTGTAGGTAATCAAGTGAGTTTGTGTTCATGCAGTTGACACAAAGATCCCTGTTGATTTTTGACATCAACATATATATTCTCACTTTATCTTATTTATCCTATTATTCAAGAACCTCAATCTTATCTGTATCATTTTCACAGTTCTAATAATGTAAGAAATGAGCTTTTAACCTTGTAAGATGTTCCTATCCTGTTGAGTGAGGATGACTTCCCTTATTTATAGGACTTGAGTAGCTCTCGTTGTCAATGTGGGCTTGGGCGTAAAATAGGAATAGTTGGTCAGTGCTCAGCTATGTTCACAAGGTCAAGGATTTGATAAATATCCTTACCGCGACTAGAGAGCCATATGCATGGAGTGCTGTTAACTTTGTTAAGCGCGGAGTTCGTCAGAACTACAGATTGGATGCAATGTATCCGTCGCGTATTTAATAAGGTTACTTGTAATCCTTTCTGCCATTAATTGTGGGAGAATAGCGTTCACATGCATTCATGTATTGTGGTATTTGTTGTTAGAATATTATAAATTTTTTTTTGATAGGTAGAATATTATAAATTGTATATAATAAACTTGTGTTTCTATTACAAAGTAGAGGACCATATTTATAGGGCTATAAATAACTTTAAAAGGAAAGATTGTGTGATAATCACACAATCAACTATTAAGGAAAATAATCCAACACAATTGGAAAAATATCATGAAAATCATTCTTTACAATATTTTCACATCTTTAACATCCTTCCTCAAACTCAATATTGTATAGTGAGTATCAAATTGAGTTTGAAAATTTAATTGATCCAATCAAATCTTCCTATTTCAAGGATCAAATGATACTTTAAAATTGTTGCATGCCAACCAAGCCAAACAAAAAACTCAAAGATGGTAAGGAAGAAAAATCACCGTTCACCAATCTAACCAAACTATCCTCAAGACTTGAAGGAGACAAAAACAAATATAACGAACAAGGTGAAAATAAACTTCAAACGGTATTAATATGCGATGCTTAGACTCTTCGAAATAGCCAAAGTACCTGTATCGACACAATATAGGTACGGGTATGAAATACTAAGCTGGTTCTTCAATTTTTAAGTTGACACAGTGGCGTTTGGATGTGGGGTAGAGGTAGAACAGCCGGCAATGGGAAGAATCAATAGCAATGTTGGAGAAGACGGAGTTGGAGGATTTATTGCCCGAGTCATCTGCATGTAGGTTGAAGGCAGAATANATCTGCATGTAGGTTGAAGGCAGAATAGGTGGCGACGGGAAGAAGCAGATATGGAGAAGACAAGAAGAAGACGAAGGGATTTATGGCCCCAGTTAGGTTTTGTAAGTAATGATGGGTTAATTGTATGTGTTAGGTTAGGGTAAAATAATTTTTAGATGGTGGGCTTTGGTTATATGTGCTAATTTTGTTGGGCTACAATATTTTTTGTATTTAGGGCTATTAGGTGTATATGTATATGTAATTAGGGTTGTTTTGGGCTTGATTTAGTTGGGTGGAGTTGGACTATTTATTTGCCATTTAATTAATATTTAAATTTTTGCATGTGAATTTTTGGAGTAAAAAAATTGAAGTTTGAGAGACGTACCCATGTGCCTGAAATTTAGATTTTTTTATCCATGTTTTCGTATCTTACATTTTAGAAAATAAAAGATTCGACACTTAGATACGTACCCGATACTCGTACCCGAGTTCGAGTATCATAGGTTTTAATAAATAGATTGGCCAAAGATAGATCATGTTTAATAGTAGCACTTCGAAAATTCATGGGTAGTATAGTTACTACACTTACAGATGAAGAAAAGATTGATGAAACAGGAACCATGGCACATGAGGAAGCTAAAACAACAGATTTGATGGAAATAAATTCGATGAAAAAAATAGCATTATTCTCTTCAAAATAATTCTAGCATCAACAGATCTAATAAAGTTTCAAAACTAATTCTCGATTTCCTCGAAAATCAACTCTCTCCAAGAAGGAAGCGACAAGAATAGCCAACATCAAACATGATTTGAATTAATTTGAAATCCAAATTCAGATTAAATCAAGAACAAAAGAAGACTTGACTGGACAAAATATATAAAAAAAAAAAAAGAAGAAAGAAAAAGAATTTGGCTAGGCGAGGATATCTAATCAAAACAAGAAAAATTGACAGGATGAACGGCACGGGCGACTCGCCGAAGAACAAAAGCTTGCAAGTTTAACTCAAAATAAAATTAAACTCACTCCGATGCCATGTTAGAATATTATAAATTGTATATAATAAATTTGTATTTCTATTACAAAGTAGAGCACCCCATTTATAGGGCTATAAATTTATTTCAAAGGAAGATCTAGCTTTTTACCTGGTTCTTCAGCACATTTGCATTTTCCAAAGGGAGCATTAGCCTTTGTATTTTTCTTATCTATAATATGTTGAATATTTCTACTTTCAGCAAGTTTTGGTGGAGTTAGCAAATGACCCGAAGCTTGTATATCACTGTGGACTGACACCAAAAAATCTTCCAGTATGTCATTTTTCTAGCTACATTGTGATTAGAATAAAAATATGGTGCCTGCTTGTTCTTCTAATCTAGTACAACTTGGTATCAGGATCTAGTGGAGAACAATCCTGTGATTGCCGTTGAAGTTCTCATTAAATTGGTCAATTCACCTGAAATTGCAGAGTATGATTTTGTTTTAATTGCTTGTGGCTTTTGTCTCAGACGACTCTTGTTACATTTTTAATTTTGATGATACAAGTTTCTTTTCAAAATGCACAGATACTTTACAGTTCTTGTTCATATGGAGATGAGCCTTCATTCCATGGAAGTTGTGAACAGGCTGACAACTACAATTGAACTTCCCACTGAGTTCCTTCATACATACATTTCGAATTGTATTGCTGCTTGTCAGGGCATCAAGGTTCACTTATCTACTTAGCTTACACCCCCTGGAAAAAAAAAAAAAAGAGAAAGAAAAGAAAAAAAAAGATAAAAATATAAAAAGAAAAAAAAAACCCTTTGCCTCCTTGAACTTAAATGTCTGCCCCCACCCCTTTCTTTTTCCAGGATAGGTACATGCAGAACAGACTTGTGAGACTTGTTTGTGTTTTCCTGCAAAGTTTGATCCGGAACAAAATCATTAATGGTAAGTCAAGCCAAAATTTTGTTGGTTGTTTGTCCAAGATCCTAGATGCAATCAGAATCTGGAAACCATGGCATGCTCATTATTCATGGCTCTTGTATTTTTTATTGTCGGGGTTGTGGTGGGTCTTGTCAACCCCCCTCCCAAAAAATAAATAAATAGATAAGTAAAACCAGTTTTACCAAGATGCTTGTTGCTGGTGTTTCACGACTTGTAGCAAGGCACAAGTAGTAATTGTTTTTTCTTTTATTAGTTTTCAACTTGACTGTTTACTTGTTGCAATATCAATAACTCTTTGTAAATGCTTGTGTTCATTGCAGTTCATGACATCTTTATTGAAGTTCAAGCATTCTGCATTGAGTTCTCACGGATTAGGGAAGCAGCAGGGTTGTTTAGGCTTCTGAAGACCTTGGAATAGTCGACCTTCCATTACTAATCTTCAACCCATATTTGGAACGTTCTGATGGAATTGTATTTTTCCTTACATTACGTCTTTAGTTTTCCATACTATTTGTTTTTTATGACGGTAAACAGCTAGGTGTTTATAGGGATTACAGGTAGTAGATTAGCCTTGTTGATTTTCTTTTGCTGTCGTAAAGAAGATTCTAAATAAGATTGCAAAATATGAACTCTGCCTTTAGCTACATGGCTCTAGATGGCAAGGGACAAGGATCGTAAGGTGTTTCCAAATGCTTCCTATTGGGATTAAATCCTCTTAGATGCCCTTTTATTCTTCATAGTGATCTCTACCCCCGACGACATGACCATGTCGTATAAAGCTATGGCCCATGGTCTCACTAGCAACATATTCAATGATGAATCGAAGTCATTGATATGTAATATGGTAAATTCAAAAGAAAACATTCACGGATCCTAATGTTATGGGTCAAACAATCCATTAAATCAAACGATCAGAAATAAAATATCTTAGTTTTGTAATTTTGTGAAATTTAAAAAAAAAAAAATTTAAAGAAATCTAAGAAAAGCTCTTTTATTTTCTTCTTCTTTTGATTTGAATCAAATTCTCTGGTCTTGATTTTATCGTTTCTTCACTTTTTATTCTGTCGTAATCACTACTTGGATTAAGAATCATCATTTTTAACTCATGTTAAATCAACTTGATTAATGAATAAGATTGTACATGAACAATCTTATTTGTTTTCTTCAAATACGATTTTAGATGATGGGCTGGCTTTGAAAGTTTTCAATTATGCACAAGTCTTGTCGTACCTACTAAAAGATGACAAAATGTACAACGGCTAGGTCACCTGAGTTAGACCAATTTTCAAACCATTAATTCTTTTTTTTTTTTTTTTTTCACTTATATAAAGCAATAATAAAGATTAAAATTAAAGATTGCCTAAAAATTAATCAATAAAACATGGTAAGAACATATTCATATCACAAATGATTTCTTTGATACGTTAATAAATAAATTTAAGGAAAGTTGAATATTTTAAATAAAAATTTCCTTAATTTACTTACTTATCAACGAATATCTAGGAAAGCGAGTAATTTTGTATTAACTGGATTATGGTAATAGAAAAATGATTCATGTTTTAAGTGTTAAAACCCTAAAATCCGTAATCGTAACCTTCTGTTTAAATTATTTACCATTCAGTCAATTATGACTGACTAACCGTTTGGACATGTATCCTGCATTTCACGCTTATAGCAATTTTCTTAACATTTAAAAATCAATCTATATATTAAACCAATAAAAAATAATATGTAATCTCCTTCTTTGACTTGGCTTAATTTCAAAAACTGATTTTCGGATTTTTGATGTTATGTTTGTAGGTGTGTGTTGAGTGTTGATCAAATCATGCACATGAACTGCTGCCCCCTTAGTCAGTTCTCACTTATAACACACAACTTTCCCTAATTCACTACCGTTTCACAAGAAAATCATGTACTAAACATCATTCCACATAGTAGTATTTGGTGAATCTAAAGTAGACAGTACGCAGTAAATCTGAACAAGCAACAATGGACAAAGTAATGCATCAAATACTGATAAGAAAATAAAATGATAGAAACTGGAAATGGAAAGGATAGAGCCTCCTGGCAATTGCATGGAAGAATAAGAATATTCATTCATTCAACTTGAGAAATTACATTACATACTAGTCTATTTATAAAGAAATATAGCTAACAAACTATTTAACAAACTAACAGGAAGAAGGATCTAGAAGAGGCTGGAAGGAGGAAGCCATATGTTGAACGTGATCTGGTGATAGAATCTTCAGCTGCTGGAGCACGTGAACCTACTGGAGCCCGAATGTGTGATCTGAAATTGGGATATTCCAACACTCCCCCCCTCAAGATGGAACATCTTGAATATGGAAGAGGAGGAAGAGATGTAGGCAATTGGTGGAAGATATTTGTAGATCCATAACCTTGAACAATCGATGATAAAGCAGAGAAGGAAAATAAAAAACTGATGAAGATGAATTCAAACAATATTGAAGTCTGCCATTATAATTGCAGGAACTCGAACTAGATAAATACATCATCAATGGCTTAATAACACATTGATGGAGATGACTGATGACATCCTCCATTGCGAATAGAAACAGGAGGCTCGGAGATTAAAAACTTAGGAGCAGCTGGAATGAACATCAGCTGTTGAAACTGAGTGAAAATCAGAAGTTGAATGAGTTCCCCTAATGGCAGACATTCTGGCGGATTCCGGCGAGAGATCTGAAGTTAGAGTTATCTTCAGATCTTCATTCCATAGTCTTCTCAACGTGAATCCTTACACTCCTTTTCATCATGTGTTCTTACCTATAAGTGTTGCGTTTTTTATATCGCAAGTGTAGGATATCGTAACAAGTAATATAGTGGACCTTTGAGTCCGGATTATCGTTCCCACGAGGACTATACTTTAGGTATTAATTAGATTTTTCTAACTCTTATTTGACAAAAAAAACAAGTAAATAATTATGATGA